CTAAATCAGCTTCAATATGAATAGCAGAAAATCATATATTCTAGGATTATTAGTAAATGATTTCACCTTATTCATCTTACTGCCAATTATTAAAGACGGTAGACAACTATGCTGTCTTTTAAGTTCATTTTGCATAAATTATTTGTCTAGGTCAGCTGAGTAATTAACCTTGGCCTCGCTATCCAATTAGAAAAGATGTCTGGGAAGGTAACTGCTGTGGTCTAACAGTGCAGTTTGCTTTGATGGCATGTCAATCTTAGACACCAGGATACGGAAAAGGCATAGAAAAGAATAATAAACACACTCTGAAAATGTGACTATAACACAGCACGTTTCTATCACATAGTAAAAACACAGCCATTAATACAAAGTGGCATCCCTGCTTCTTGCCATATGAGAACACTTGGCTAGTCATGGTTTAGAATGTTTTTCTTGTGGTCTGTTTGTATGATAATCCTCACTATATTTAGAGATCGAGGTGTTTGGGAACACTCTAATGTTCATCCGGTTGCCACTGAGTCAATTCCAACTCATAGCAACCCTGTAGGACAGAGTAGAACCGCCCCATAGGGTTTCCAAAGCTGGAATCTTTATGGAAGCAGACTGCCACATCTTTCTCTTATGGAGCTGCTGGTGGGTTCGAATCACCAATCTTTTGGTTAGCAGCCAAACGCTTAAGCACTGCACCACCAGGGCTCCTTCTAATGTTAAAAGTAGACCTGAAATCAGTGTAACGTAAGGCAACTTAAGAATTCAGACCCTGGAGCCGTCTTCCTGGGCTGAATCTCTTCTGCACCATTTACTAACTGTATATATTTGACAAATTACCTAAACCTCGGAGCCTCAGGTTCCCCTGCAGTGGATAATGTGGTACCTAACTTGAGAGAGAATATACATAAAAGATTTAGAACAAACACCAGCAGGCCTGCCAAGCTCTCAGTGTTGCTAGCTGTTACTATTTACCCATCCTTGAGCCCTGGTGGCACAGTGGTTAAGTGTGCAGCTGCTAACCAAAAGGCTGGCAGTTCCAATCCACCAGCTACTCCTTGGAAACCCTATGGGGCAGTTCTACTCTGTCCTACAGGGTCGCTAAGAGTTGCAATCGACTTGAAGGCAATGGCTTTGGTTTTTTTCTTTTTTTCTTTTTGGTGATCCATCTCAGCACTTTCTTACCATCCTTTGAGCTTTTTTATGTTTGATTTTAGAGATGATCAGAAGAGTATCTGCTATTCTTGGGTGACAGTGGTGGCCTGTACCGTCTTGGAAAAGCCATTCATATATACCTCTCCCCAACTCCACATTCAGTGATGCCATGTGGGCGGCATGACATCGTCCATGCTGGGAGCATACACAGACAGAAACTGGCAAACACTACGAATCCGGGCTTGTCTTTTCTCAGAGAGCTGGATACTAAACATTTACCATCACACCATTGGGTACAGTAGTGTTCAAGGTAGAAGGACTGTACTGAAAAGTGGGACGCGTACTGATAGCTATCCTGCTACTACACGCTGTGCACTTTGCCCCCTTCTAGGTTTAAACATACCTAATCAACTGACATCTCAAATCTAATTAACAAAATATTGGTTAAAATATATTCAATACGATGTTTGTCAATATCAGTAATGACATCATTAATAAAATTTATTCTAAGTAAACTCTAAAATCAAAACCACATTCCACACAGGCATGGAACGTAACGAATAAGAGACCTTGTGGTATTTACTTAGTAGTAAAAGAAGTACTAATTAAAGACTCATTAACAACCTGCATTATGTAGATGACACAACCTTGCTTGCTGGAAGTGAAGAGGACTTGAAGCACTTACTGATGAAGATCAAAGCCCGTAGCCTTCAGTAGGGACTACACCTCAACACAAAGAAAACAAAAATCCTCACAACTGGACCAATAAGCAACATCCTGATAAACAGAGAAAAGACTGAAGTTGTCAAGGATTTCATTTTACTTGGATCCACAATCAACACCCATGGAAGCAGCAGTCAAGAAATCAAACGACACATTGCATCAGGCAAATCTACTGCAAAAGACCTCTTCAAAGTGTTGAAAAGCAAAGATGTCACCCTGAAGACTAATGTGTGCCTGATCCAAGCCATTATGTTTTCATTCACCTCATATGCATGCGAAAACTGGACAATGAGTAAGGAAGACCGAAGAAGAATTGATGTCTTTGAATTATGGTGTTGGCGAAGAATACTGAATATACCATGGGCTGCCAAAAGAAGGAACAAATCTGTCTTGAAAGAAGTGCAGCCAGAGTGCTCCTTAGAAGCAAGGATAGTGAGACTATATCTCATACACTTTGGACATGTTGTCAGAAGGGGATGGCAAGACTATGTCTCATATACTTTAGACATGTTGTCAGAAGGGATTGGTCCCTGAAGAAGGACATCATGCTTGGTGAAGTAGAGGGTCAGCGAAAAAGAGGAAGACTCTCAACAAGATGGACTGACACAGTGGCTGTAACAATGGACTCAGGCATGGCAACGGTTGTGAGGATGGTGCGGGACCAGACAGTGTTTTGTTCTGTTGTACATAGGGTCGCTACGAGTCGGAAGCGCTTCGACGGCACCTAACAACAACAACAACAAATTACCATTTGACTACTGCTACCACCGCAAGTATTCACAGGCATTTCTGCAAATTATCCTTAAAGATGGAAATCAGGCAAATGACTTTACATTTGCACCTCGGAGAAGAGGCTGAAGATAGTACAGGGCTGAGTATAACCATGCAAAAGGGGCTCTGAAGTGGTAAATTCAAAGATTCTCACCAAAATTAATTTTATCTCCCATTAGATGAAGGACTGTAATTCATTTAAAAAGAATAGTTACAAAGAAAACAGGGAAACTGACAGCAAATGTGTTTAAGCAGCAGAAGATGGGAAATGCGTGTGTTTTTCAGAGGCGGTCTCGTAATTAATGTTTGTTTTGTGTGTTGAATGAAACACTGTGATGCCGCTGTGAACAACCAAGAGCAGAAAGTACAACACAAAGTTTATCAGTGGGCTTGAAGGCAGAAAATGTTCTGCATCAGACCAACACGCTGAAGCAATTACTAGACAAGAATAAAAAACAAAGGACTGTAAATGATATTTCTATCGAACAGAATAAAGAGGAATGATATTAAAATTCCCAATCATAAGAGTTTCCCATTTTATTTTTTAAAGACTATGTTCTTGTGTGCCGCTGAGTCGATTCCAACTCACAGAGGCCCCATGTGACAGAGTCGAACCACCCCATAGGGTTTCCTAGGCTGTAATCTTTATGGAGGCAGATCACCAGGTCCTTCTCCCCCGGAACCGCTGGGTGGGTCCGAACTGCCTTTCGGTTAGCAGCCCAGCCCTTAACCATTGCTCCACCAGGGCTCCTTACATGGACTATAACCCGTTGCTGTCGAGTCCATTCTGACTCATAGCGACCCTAATGGGTATCCAACTGTAGTAGTACTTAGACTCCCATGGATTCATTTAAAAAAGGCAAAAAAGTCAATATTCACAATTTCTACTATGGGAAATTAAATTCTCTGTCACTTTTAAACTAAGAAAAATCTAAGCTCTCATTATGTTTATTTATGAGAGAGATACATAGATACTGAAAATACTTGAAGCAAAAAAGGTTTGACAACTGAACTAACTTGATGAGCTAAGAAACAAAGTCCCACGAGAGGACAGCATGGCGGTGCAAGTGGCGAGGATGGGCCCGTATTACATAGCACCGAAGGACTCGAAGAGTCAACCCTAGTCACCGGGCTTTCGTCCTCGTCATTGCTCCTAACCGTTTCCCAGCTGTTCCCATCAGCTATATGGTTGCTCCCATGGAATGTGGTCCTATTTCCCAAAAGCATTGTCTCTTATTGTTAAGGTGGTACCTCCCATCCATACAAAGGTAGTAAGAATTTCCCTAACTCCAGAATTCATGAAACACCATTAAAGTTTCATGCGAGCATATAGAGGAGCCCAGGTGGCACAGTGGGTAAGAGCTACAGCTGTTATAGCAGCTAGCTAAAGCTAGCTACAGCTGCTAGCCAAAAGGTCAGCAGTTTGAATCCACTCCTTGGAAATCCTACAGGGCGGTTCTGCTCTCTGTCCTATAGGGTCGCCATAGGGTCTCTATGAGTTAGAGTCGACTCAGTGGCAACAGGTTGGTTTTTGTTTCTTTGTTTAGAGTGCACAGAATACTAAACGATCAGTTCACTCAGGATATAACAATGCAAAACAGAGACTCCACACTCACCCACCGTAAAGTGAGACTTGAGAAAACAAACGGAGCCTCACTGTCTTCTTCAGTCAACAGAGAAGACTGTTGCAAGGATTAAACGAAGCAACACCTATAATGCGTCTGACAGCTCTGCAAAGTGGCTGTCTCACTTTTCCTCGCAAACAAAACTTTGCTGGTTGCTGTTAAAACGTGAGCTATTACCAACTTTTTGTGTAAAAATCCCAAATGCCATGCATGTGACAAACAATAAGGTTTTAGATAATATTTTCCTTATTTATTGGGGTTATTGCCATCAAGTCGATTCCAATTCATAGTGACCCTAACAAGACAGAGGAGAACTGCCCCACAGGGTTTCCAATGCTGTCATCTTTACGGAAGCAGACTGCCACATCTTTCTCCTGCAAAGTGGCTGGTGGGTCTGAACTGCTGACCTTTTGGTGAGCAGCTGAGCGCTTAACCACTGCGCCACCAGGGCTCCTTTCATCGGAGTAGGCGCCCTGAAATAGACACCTGATGCTCCGACGTGATGTCCTGCGTTAACTCATTTTTCTTTTTACATATTCACATCTTGAAATCAATGCAAAACATTAGGTGATTTTTTTTTTTTTCCAAGGCATTTCCAAAGTATATACAACCAAGAATCACTGTTTCTGGTTTATACGGACAATATAAATAAAACACAAAACAAAAAACCTTAAATTACTTTAAAAGATTTCAAAATTGAGTAGTAGAAAAAAGGTATTTTGCAAAAGTATTACTTACATTAGCACAGTGTAAGGCTAAAGCACAAAAGACTGCAAACATTTTGAAGTTGTTCTCATCCGTTTTAGAAAAGGCACTTCCGCTGATTTTGTTCACCATCTGGACAACACCTATCACGCTCCCTCGGCTGACGATGGGCATACACAAGATATTGCGGGTGGTATAGCCTGTGTACAAGTCCACTTCTCTGTGGGAGAATTAACAGACAAAACCAAACAGAAACAAAGGGGCAGAATATATCACACGTTCTATCATAAATCTCAGCTCAGTTTTGTTATTTATATTCCTCTATTTGGACATCATGATAAATGGAGAAAATACTGAACTTGTCAAGGATTTCATTTTACTTGGATCCACAATCAATGCCCATGGAAGCAGCCGTCAAGAAATCAAATGACGCATTGCATTGGGCAAATCTGCTGCAAAAGACCTCTTTAAAGTGTTAAAAAGCAAAGATGTCGCCTTGAAGACTAAGGTGCGCCTGATCCAAATCATGGTGTTTTCAATTTCCTCATATGCATGCGAAAGCTGGATAATGAATAAAGACTGAAGAAGAATTGATGTCTTTGAATTATGGTGTTGGCGAAGAACACTGACTACACCATGGACTGCCAAAAGAACAAACAAATCTGTCTTGGAAGAAGTACAGCCAGAATGCTCCTTAGAAGCGAGGATGTCGACATGCTGTTTCACGTACTTTGGACATGTTATCAGGAGGGACCAGTCCCTGGAGAAGGCCATCACGCTTGGTAACATAGAGGGTCAGCGAAACACAGGAAGACCCCAACTGAGATGGACTGACACAGTGGCTGCAACAGTGAGCTCAAACATAGCAAGGACTGTGAGGACAGTGCAGGACCAGGCAATGTTGTGTTCTGTTGTACACAGGGTTGCTATGCATTGGAACCGACTAGATGACACCCAATAACAACAACAACAGCGTGCCATTGAGTCGATTCTGACTCACAGTGACCCTATAGGACAGAGAAGAACTACCGCTTAGGGTTTCCTACGCTGTATTCTTTATGGAAGCAGATCACCAAGGCTTTCTCCCATGCAGAAGCTGGTTGGTTCAAACCACTGACCTTTCCATTACCAGCTGAGTACTTACCCACTGTACCACCAGGGCGCCTTATAGGCTTCTATTACAAATAACATACACGTAACTCTCAGTTACCAGGGACAATGTGACATCTGAAAGTGTTTTATTAAACCTTTTAAAAAACAGTTCAACTTGTCCCTCTGCTTTCAAGAGACGTTTCCTAGGAAAGTTTCTAAGAGACTTTCACCTTATCATTTGGTTTCAAGTATCTAGTATCACTAAGTAAATGCAGTCAAACAATGTGGATTCAGAGGGGAAATATAATAAATTTGTTAAAATAACATGTTCCTTTGAACTTGGTCATAATTTATGACAGAAGTAACTTGCTAAACCAATTTTAATGGAAGTTCCCACCTCAGTGGAGCCCTGGTGGCACAGTGGTTAAGAGCTACAGTGAGCTATGGCTGCTAACCAAAAGGTGCTCCTTGGAAACTCTATGGGGCAGTTCTACTCTGTCCTATAGGGTCTCTGTGAGTCGGAATCATACATCTATCATACACTTATGGCTTAGATACATCATTTTACAAATATCTGAATATACTGACTGCTGATAACAGACATGGTTCAAAGAACGCAGAATACAGCATGAGGGGAAAGAATGGACAGAGGTGGGAGGGTGCGGGATTGGGCTCCGTGGAAGAGGTGTCAGCTGGGTGAGACACTGCAGGAGAGAGGGGATTCTGACGGGGAGAGGCTGATGGACTCCCATTTCTTACCGGTTAAAGCGTGGGTCTGCGTAGGCATCTGGGATGTTAAGGACTTCCCCCGTTCTTGCTACTTGGCCAGCTATTCCTTTCTCAATGGAAAATCTGCATAGACAGAAAAGAGAGGAGCATGCTAATTAACACAGAGACATTTCATTACTACCAAATATCGAATGAAAAAGCACTGTTTTATTTTATATGCTTATATTAATTTTATATTTACAAATTCAAATCATCTTATTATTACAGAATATATAAAAGTAAAGTAGAAAACCATTATAGAGTTAATACTTCAGAATCTTGTTTCAAGATATAATTCACAATATATTAAAGAACACTGGATGACACACTGAAATCGAAAAATTTACTAGTGTTCTCTTGCACTGAGCAATAATATTCCTTTGCATTTGCCAAGTACCTTATAATACACAAGATTCTTCAATACGAATTTTCTTATTTAATGCTCAGTGAAGTATGAACTGAGGTTCATAATAAGTTTTTTGCCAACATTCTTGTAACATATTAGTGGCACAATAGAATCTACTACTCATGTCTACACCAGTATGCTTTCCACATATATAGAACCAAACCCACAAGCTATGTCTGAGCCCTGAGATACTATACACTACTTAGGTTTTTAAGGCAGCAACTATATAAAAATAATACCATATAAAACTTTGAGCATTTTTACTTCTCTAATTTGTTAAATTTAAAAATAATCAAAACATAACCATTACTTATTACATTGATCTGTTTTGATATTTAATATCAGTATTTTTCTGTTATAAAAAGTTTCATATTTATAAATTTTTTTTTTCATTATGCTATTATCAGCATACATGCACTCATTTGAAATTTAGTTAAGGAAGAAGTCTACAATTTTCAATGGCTCAAAAATAAGTTTGATAATATTAATATTTTCAACATTATAGGAAATAACTACTATTGAAATAAAGCTTCACACCTAAAGGGTTACCATGAAAATTCAAAATAGAATTGACACAAAAGAGAATTAACTGTTTCTTAAAACACCAAAAAGCAAACAAATAGTGCATAAAACCCTAGGTCATCGTCTAGCTGCTTTTCGGGGGCTTTGACCACCAGGGACCCGATGACGTAGACCTCCACGTGAAGAGTGCAGAATCCCTTCCATGCTTTATGCCTGCTGTACTTGGTCTGTGAGACTGGTGGCACACTGGTTAAAGTGATCGGCTGCTAACCCGAGGGTCGGCGGTTTGAAACCCCCAGCGGCTCCGCGGGAAAAAGATGTGGAAATCTGCTTCCATAGAGATTTACAGCTTTGGAAACCCTACAGGGTCGTTATGAGTCAGAATCAACTCCAAGGCAGTAGGTTTTGTACTTGGTCAGAGAAGGGTCTGAACAGTCCACTTTTATTCACACCCTCTGGTTTGCTATCTATGGTCACCTTCACCTGATGGGTGTCACTAAGAGTCATGCCCCATATGAATGGCCACCTGAACCAGTTAACCGAGAGTTACAGTCAAGCACGCCCCACAACTGCTTTCCCCGGTGCTTGCAAACAAGACTTTATGGTCTTCAAACTCAGCCACTACAGCAACACCAGGGAACACCCAAACCTTCAGCAAGAGAAATAACTTGAAGTGATTATATCCAAAGTCATTTACTGAGATCTAAAACCAACCAAACACAAGTAACAGAAATTAAAGAAAAATAAAAAATCTCTATAGTGCTGTAAGGTCAGAGTTACGTGATTAAGAATAGGGACTCCATCACCCTAACCCTACAGAACTGAACGTGCCAAGCAGCAGACAGCGGTGAGGCCAGGGCTGGGCCAGGCTCTGTGAGCTGTCTTACACGATTAGCAACTGGCTGCCCAAAAAACGGCAGTTCTTAATAAAGAAGAACATGTTTTGCTGGAATGTTGTAATTTCCAAAGTGCTTTAGAGCACTATGTGGAAAAGTAGCTAAAATAGATAAGGTAAAAGGAAGGCAAATGTATAAAAAATTTTCACTTTTGAGCATTAAGCTTGATTCTTGAACGTTCTGTGACGGTGCTCCCAGTAGGTTTTCAGACTGTGATATGACTGAGCCACCAGGTCTCCACCAAGGAAGCTCCAGTCGATTCATTTACGTGACAACAGCTGCCACTTAGAGAAGAAGAAGCCTTTAGTGTTAAGATGCGACGGAGTATGCTATATGAGCGATAAGTGACCCACTGGTCTGTTACAGAATAACGCGTGAGGTTCACCAGATCTACCAGATCCGTTTCCATGGGGGTCTGGTCTTTGAGACGGCCCCGCAGGCTGGGAGGGACGGGGCCAACCCTTGCAAACCTTCCCATGCTCCTGGACTTGGAACACCTGCACGCTCTAGCTGGCCTGTACCTTTACCTACCTGGGCGCACTAGTAAGTTTTTCCAACATGATTTCCAAAAGGACCGCCTCCGGAAGACGGCGTTTCCAGGAGTGACGCCACAGCTTCGGAGGCGCGGTTTCGCTGGCACTGCAATGTCATTCCCAGAAGCACTACCTTCAGGAGGCGGGTCCTGGTGGGAATGATACCACAGTGTGACAAGTATTGTCAGCGTCCCTGCAAACAGGCACAGAAACATGGGTGACAGAACACCTGCACATCAGTCATCAGAGCACCCTGGCAGTCTACTTCTAGTGCTACCTTATTTCTTTGGTCTTCTTGAAGATGGGTTTTCCTTCCTTTTCCTCGCCAATATCAAAAAGGTCTGAATATAACTCCTTGTTCTTATGGTCTACCTGGAAAAGGGCACAACGGTCGGCATTCACCAGGTTTTTTGCATATATCTGAAAGCAAACAATAAAACAAGAGTTAGCTGACGTGAGATTCAAAGAATTTACAATAAACTTTATCATGAAATAAGTATCAGTTTCAGCTACGTGCACTCTAATCGGGTGGGAAATTAGCCTTTATATATATATAAGTATAAAAGGTTCCTAGGTGGTGTAAATGGTTTGCCCTGGACTACTCTCCTAAAGGTCAGCGGTTCTGTGCAATATACAGACACCACTCAAAAGTGGACAGTGGCAGCACTGGAGTCTCTTTCTGGGACTTCCCTGAAGGACAACAGTGAAGGGAAATCCTTCCAGTGGGCAGAACTTCAAGCAGTGCATTTTGCTTAGAAGGAGAAATGGTTAAATGTGAGATTATATACTGATCCACGGGCTGTGGTCAATGGTTTTGCTGGATGGTCAGGGACTTGGAAGGAACATGATTGCAAAAGGGATGACAAGGAGGTATGGGGAAGAGGTATGTGGATACACCTGTCTGAATAGGCAAGAAAAGTAACAATATTTGGGTCTCATGTGAATGCTCTCCAAAGAATGACCCCAGCAGAGGAGGATTTTAATAATCAAGTGGGTAGGATGACCCATTTTGCAGTTATTAGTCAGCCTCTTTCCCCAACCGCTCCTGTCATTGCCCAATGGGCTCATGAACAAAGTGGCCATGGTGGCAGAGATGGAGGTTATGCATGGGCTCAGCAACATGGACTTCCACTCACCAAGGCCAACTTAGCTATAGCCACTTCCGAGTTCTCAATGTGCCAGCAGCAGAGACCAACACTGAGTCCCCGATATGGCACCATTGCTCAGGGTGATCAGCCAGCAATCTGGTGGCAGCTTGATAACATTGGACCGCTTCCATCATGAAGAGGGCAGTGTTTTGTTCTTACTGGGATAGACACTTACTTACTCTGGATACAGATTTGTCTTCCCTGCACACAATGCTTCTGTCAAAACTACCATCTGTGGACTTACAGAATGCCTTATCCACCATCATGGTATCTCACACAGCATTGCCTCAGATCAAGGGATTCACTTCACAACAAATGAAGTGTGGCAATGGGCCCATGCTCATGGAATTCACTGGTCTTACCATGTTCCCATCATCCTGAAGCAGCTGACTTGACAGAACAACGGGATGGCCTTTTAAAGGATCAATTACAGGACCAGCTAGATTATAATACCTTGCAGGGTGGGGCAATGTTCACCAGAAGGTTGTACATGCTCTAAGTCAACATCTAATATATGGTGCTTTTTCTCGTATAGCCAGGATTCACAGGTCCAGGAATCAAGGGGTAGAAATGGAAGTGGCACCACTCACTATCACCTTTAGTGATTCACTAGTAAAATTTCTGCTTACTGTCCCCATGACTCAATGCTCTGCCGGTCTAGAGTTCCAAAGAAAGGAATGTTTCCACCAGGAGACACAGCAATGATTCACTGAACTGGGAGTTAAGACTGCTGCCTGGCCACTCTGGGCTCCCTGTGCCTCTCAATCAACAGGCAAAGAAGAGAGTTACTGTACTGGCTTGTGTGACTGATCCTGATTGCCGAGGGAAAGTTGGACTGTTATTATACAATGGCAGTAAAGAAGAGTATGTCTGGAACACAGGAGATCTCTTAGGGAGTCTCTTAGTACTTCCATGCTCTATGATTAAAGTCAATGGAAAACTACAACAACCCAGTTCAGGCCTAGACCTTCAGGAGTGAAGGTTTGGGTCACTAACCAAATGAGGTGCTTTCTGAACACAAAGGGAATACAGAATGCATAGCGAAAGAAAGTAGTTATAAATACCAGCTACTATCACATGACCAGTTGCAGAAATGAGGAGTGTAACTGTTATGAGTATTTCTTCTTTATTTTGTTTTCTATCCTCATCATATAACATCAGATGTATTAACTTTACATCAAAGTATTTAAATAGTGCTAACTTAACACTGTAGTATTTTAAGTCACAGCACATCAAAGAAAAGTGTGAACATCACACAAGCACTTAGCATCCTCTTCTGAAGAAAGGGCTGGTGTGTTTTGGTTGTATGCAGTATAATTTTATCATGTTAGATGGAAGTATAACTTCGTTATTGTCTTTATTTGATTAACCATGGTTTCAGAAGATGTGTATGAGTGCCAGGTTGACAAGGGATGGACTTTAATGGTTAATTTTATGTGTCAGCTTGGCTAGGCTACAGTGCCCCATTGTTTGGTTAAACACTAGTGTTACTATAAAGGCATTTTGTTGATGTGATTGACATTTATAATCAGTTGGCTCTAAATAAAAGAGATTGCCCTTCATAATGTGTGTGGGCCTCTTCCAACCAGCTGAAGGCCTTAAGAGCAAAAACTGAGGTTTCAAAGAGGAAAAGGAATTTTACCTCAAAATTGTAACATAGATATCCTTCTGGAATTTCCAGCCCACCACCTGGCCTACTGATTTCAAACACAAGACTGTTGAAGTTTCTAGTCTGTTGCCTGACTTCCAGATTTCAGACTCAAGACTGAAAGAGTTTTCCAGCTTGTCATCTGACCTATGGATTGTAGATTTGCCAGACCCCATGATCAAGTGAGCCAATTACTTAAAATCAGCCAATCTCTCCCTCTTTCTTTCTATCTGCGTGTGTGTTCCCTTCTGGTTCTGTCTCTCTGGAGAACCCTAACTCATAAAGCTTATCTCCTGCACTAGACTATAAGCCCTATGAGAACACAGACTGTGAAGGTTTCTGCTGCTATCTAGTCCAGCTGATATCTAGTACAAAGAATATAACAGATACCCAAAAATATCATAGCAGAAGTGAATGAATGAACACCAGAAGGGATCGACACCAAAGAGAAATTAAAAAGAGAATCAGAGAGCAATCCTTTATAAGATACAAATCGTTTCCAGTTGATTTATACCAAATCTTAAAGGAACAAATTATTCATATGTTGTTTAAACTGTTTTAGTTTATAGAAAACAATGGAAATTTTCTCAACCCATTTTATAAGTGTAGCATAACCCCAATACCAATACTACCCATGGATAGAAAAAAAGGCAAACATTGATAAATCTTACTAATAAACATAGATGCAAAAGTTTAAAATAAGTATTAACAACCAATCAAGGGGTGGGTCATACAGTACAAATAAATAAGATTTACCCCAGGAATGTAAGTGTACTTCAATACGGAGCAATAAATGAATATGATTCCCTATTTGAATTGATTGAGGGAGGAAAGAGTTGTATTACTTTAATAATAGCTTACAAAAGTTAGACAATACTCAATACGCAATCAGATGTAAACTCATAGCACGTTAGGAACAGAAGAAACAGTTTTTAAGTTGATGAAAGGTGTCCCCTTGGAAACTACAACAAATCTAACTAGTAACAAAATGTGAGAAGCGTACATATCAATGAAAATACATCCACTCTCACCGCTTCCATTCAACATTGATCCAAGCCAAGACACTGCGACAACAAAAATAGTGCAAACGCCGAAAACAAGAACCACGATGGTCATTATATGAAATTATAAATGACTGCCTAACTCAAAAATCCAAGACTATAAACTAAAAACAACCGTTAACGACTAATATGGAAGACCATAGTCAATAAAGTCAACTAAGAGAGAGGAAAATAAAGAATGGAAAATCAGACGATGTTTTGGATGAGGAAGATACCACCTGCTGAAGGTATCAACTCTACTTAAGTTTTTCTACAAATTTAAGACAATTTCAATACAAATCCTATAAAGACTGATGGGTGTGAGAAACTGACAAAATTCTTCTAAAATCCATATGAAAGAAAAAACGCATGAAAATAGCCAAGTACACTGTCAAGCAGACAAAAGTAATGGGTGATGGGAGGTGATCAGGCCAACTAGGCATTAAAATATATTACAGCTTTAATGATAAGATGGGTATGGCCTTAACATGAGATTAGATTGGCAGATCTTTAGGAGAGTATACAAAGTTCAGAAACAGAAACAATACATGATAAAGTTAGCATTTCAAATCAACAGCGAAAGAATAAGTCGTTCAGTAAACAGTACTGGAACAACTGACCGACTTCCTGGCAGTAAATGTAATTAGATGGTTACTTCATACCTTACCATACAATAAATCCCAGATGAGTTAAGAACTTAAATAAAAACCATGAAACAACATGAAGAATAGAAGAAATTTTAAGCTAATAACAGAAAAACTGAAACACACATAAGCACTTACACAGCAAATCACATTTAATTTTTTTTTTAAATTGGAAATCCTTCTTCGTAGGCCAACAAAGGCAGAAAAGCAAAGAAAAAGACCAACAGATTTTATTACATACATTTTTAATGCTTTAGTTTGAAATAAACCACACCAAAAACAAATATAAACAGTTAATAAATATTAATAATTTTCATTAGAATGATTAAGTTTTAAAGGGTCAATAATATAAAGCCAATACTATTGGTTACCAATTAAACTGAGCCATGAGACACATTTCATTATCTAGTCAGGTCAGATAAATAAGAGGCTACTGTATAAATTAATGCACAGTAGAAGAGTTGCTAGTTAGCATATTTAGAAATCATGTATAAAAATAAAGCCACAGAGGCTTTTTTTAAACAGAAACTGACAATAGTTACAGGACTAAGACTGTGGAAAATCTTGCCATAAACAGGTAGTCTCCAGTGGTCTCCAAGGCATGTGTGTGCAACGCTGGGGATATGCCAGACAACCCAATGATTTCCAAAAGAAACCGTAATGTATAAATATGTATAGACAGACACACACACATTTATTTACTTTAATAAAGAAATAGGACGTACATTAAGTTTTACTATGACAGTGTACTAATTGATACTGTCATTTCCAATCAGTCCAATTATGAGACAGTCTGTATGCCACCTTAGCAAGTGTCTCAAGACTGACAGATCCTAATATAAGAGCACTGATTTAATATTCATCCATCAGCTTCAGGCATCACACCGTGACAGGCTTCACTGACCTGCTTCCCAGTTAAACTGATGAAAATTATAAAAAA